ACTATCGTAAATACTACATGAGTGTAAAATGTGAAAATTGCGAGAAAATCGCGATATATATTATATATATGCAATTGTAAACAAAATACGCATTGTATATGAACATTATATTTAATTATAAAAATATGAAGATGGATATTGTTTGCGTCTTTCTTAATACCCTCTGTTCTGGTTGAATATCCTGGTTAAACATTCAGCGGAGATGTGCATAAAACAGCGTAGATATAGTTGACAAATTGCAATCCAAATCTTATAATATACCCCATCTCCGAAAACAACGAGTCTCTATGCGCCATTGAACTCTATTATTCATTATTCAAGGAAGCTATTTTAAGAGTGAGAGGTAAAAAGCTCGAAAAACAATGACAAAATTTAAAATTGACAAATTTGAAAATAAATACTAATTATCATTAACTGTTTTAAAAATGACAATTAATTCTGACTAGGAACCTTAGCATCTCGTAGTTTCATTATTTATCATTAGATATTATTTTGGACCTATGGATTTCAATAACCTTTGTAAAATCATAAAATTTATGTATTGTTAATTTCATATAATTATATTAAAATCAATCGAAAAATTCATTTGTTTTGTCCTCTTTCTTTCTATAATTTTATAAATGCAATCCCACTTTATATAATCACTTCAATTGTAATATAATTATATTTATATTTTTTTGTGCTATGTATTCTAAATATATTCATATTCTGCTTTTTCAAATTCTTATGTATTTTGGCCGGCTGAATTCGAATCTAACGTCAGAATTGCTCCATCACGTCACAGTTCTTTTTAAATCTCCAAAATAGACGAAAATTTTGTAAGTGCAAACTCACTTTATATAATTATTTTAATTGTAATATAATTATATTTATAATTTTTTGTGCTATGTATTCTAAATATATTCATATTCTGCTTTTTCAAATTCTTTTCATTTTATATAATACATTATCAATAAAATTTTAAATCAAGTTTCGTTTAGTAAATGGATAATCTAACGAAAATAAAATTTAAAAGATGAATGAATTTTTTGATCGATTTAATTACATAGTAGTAAGTAAAAGAATTATAAATGAAACGGAGATATATATGTACCATTTTCCAAATGATCTGATTACTGTCATGATACTACAGCAGCGAGTATAATGTTTGTTTTGTTATTATTAGCTAAACACAAAGATGTTCAGGTATCTCAATATCTTATGATATATTATTTAAATTGAGATCTTTAATCAAAGTACAAACATCAAGTTTTTGAAAAAAAAAATACTTAAAAAATATATACATATATGCATATATATGCACTATAAACACTTCAGCAACAATTTTTTGGCGTGGAAGTGACATCTCGTTTTATTATCATGTTGCTTTCAATATCGATCTTCTGCAATGACACAAACTAGTCGAGTCATTAGATTAATGATATATAAATGATATTTATAAAATAGTCCATTTATTCCACGTATTAAAATATTCTGATGTCGAGTGTATGTAAGATAATTGTATATATATTATCGAGATAAGTATTTGATAAGAAACATTTTATAAACACTAATTAATAAAATTAATGGACGTTTTTCAAAGACGTGTTTTCTTATCCTGCTTAAACATCATCTTATATTTTCAAAGTTTTTTTATTAAACTTAAAGCATTTTGCACATGTAGCAAAACGCATTTTAATATTATAAATACATTTCACCATAATATTAACCATAATAATAGTAATTATATTACAATGTTTCAATGTTAAATCTATGTAATGTTATTGCAAAATTTCGGTGTTGTATGGGATTATAATCCTTATATTATAAGATAATTTATTTTAAGATAATTTATAAGATTATTTTTAATGATTATTTTATTTTACGCAAACTGTCAAAATTGATAGCTGATTTCACAATCGCACATAACATGAAGCAAGTCGCAACGCGCATATCAATATTTAAAAAAAGGAGCAACGATATATTTCGAGAGTTTCGACATAATATACCTTTTTTAGAAAGGATTAAAGAAATAGTTGTAGTTACTATAAATATAATTATTTTCAGTGCCAACTAAAGTTAAAGTTATTATTACTAGGCACAAGGTTATTATTCTATTCCGAATCGCAATTATACATAATAAGAATCGCCATTAGTACAGTTATTATGGGACTAGCCCTAACAACATGTTATTTTCGTCCACCGAGTGTTGTGTTACTTTTGCCCTCGGACACATTTTTTAGAATAAAAGTATTATAACCTAAATAAGAGTCAAAACTTATTCAAATCAACTATAAAAATTTATGAACACATTGTAAAAAAATGCACCGGTAAATTATTACGTCAATATATACACTTTATTATTAAAGTATTTTAATTTATATTTATATACACTTTAATTAAGCATAAATACAAAAAAAACTGAAACAAGAAATATTTATGAAAATTATTTATATGAATAATGTGACGCTTACACTAATTTTACTCCTGCATGTGAAACTGATATACGATCGTTCCACAACAATTATCTGAAAAGAAAAGGAATCGGGGCATATGCGTTTGACTATATAATAAAAATTATTTAATATATTATGCAGGTTAGTAGGAGGCGTGTTACTTTCCTGCATAGACATAGTAAATATAGATCGAGCATCCATTGTATAAGCGTTAAACATACGAAAAGAAAGACAAAAGATGTAAGATTAGTTTCTTTCTCATTTTAATGCCGAAGAAGTGGGGAGCACTTCTCCTCATCTCCTCGCCCCTCCATGACGAACCGGTGCGAGAAGATGTGAAGAAGTGCTCCTCACTTCTCCGGCATTGAAAAGAGAAAGAAACTCATCTTACATCTTTTGTCTTTCTTTTCGTATGCTTAACGCTTACACAATGGATGCTCGGTCTATACTTACTATGGTTATGCTTTCCTGTATAGTACTTTCATATATGTATATATACATAGAGCAGACTGGGAGCAAAAGTCACAGTAGTAACAGTAACAGCGTCAAGATACACACATGCGTGCGTGCGTCCGCGCGCGTGTCTATGTGTGAGTTTGTGTCAAGCAAAGTGGAATTATTGAACCGTCGATATGTCAAAACATAAAATTCTGATTATTAATATGCTCTTGAGCTGATAAACGGCTATAAGTATAAGTCTGAAATTTACATTATTAGTTCGAGAAGATTTGTTTTACTGACATGTGTATCTGCTTGGAGAAATTTACAATTGCATTTTAAGCATTCCAGTGTTTTAATCATTTTATTCGAAAATTTATCAGGTAATATATTAAATAAAATTTTATAATACTATTGTAAAATCCCAACAATGGTTAATAATAATATAATTATTTTAAGAGCATGATTTTAATATAAATATTTAATATAAATTTTTCAAATATCACAAGCTGTTAGTTCTATACGATTTTTTTTGTTATAATTTTATTAAATATATATTATAACACAAAAGTATTTTTACAGAAATATGTTTAACAATTAGATACAACAAAACGATAGAATAAACCCTTATAAGAAATCACGATAATTATACAATTTGTATAATATATGAAAACACAATATAATAGAATAATAATTATGATATAAATTAAATAAAAACTAATAAAATAATTTTTTGTTTATTGATACAATTAGCGAATGCTTAATTAAATAATTTTGGTTTATTATAAAAAACTCTTTTTATAAAACTATAAAAGTATATTTATAGATCTAACAAGGAAAGGCACGGAAGTGTCCCCCTCCGATTTCGATGAGCTTTTAATATGTTGTTTAGTCTAGACAAAAGGACATGTATTTTTTTATACCCATTTAGTGCCCGTACACGTGTCTAAAACACCCCTTTGAAAAAAATCGGTTTTTTTCCTTTCGAGATGAATATTTCAAAAAATATAAGAGATAGAAAAAATTTTCAAATTAAAAATTAAATGGCTTCAAGAGTACTTTACAATAATAACAAAACAATTTTACTTTTTTAATTTTTTAAAATACCTCCACCACCAAATATATTTTTTTTTAATTTTGAAATTTCTTTATTACCAAGTGAAAGGTTATTTTTTTACGAATCCAACCATATATTATTAAGTTATGTTTCGAAAAGTCATTTTCCAGAATTAATTATAAACTTCTCTGTAATACGCCTATTCGTGTCCGTCGATTTTTCGCGCATCCTGTTTTTCCGTAACAGAAGATAACTAACATAAACATTTATGTATGTAATTACGTTTTTTTCGCAAGTTTAGCTAAAATAACATTGATATAACAAATCAAATTTATATTTAATATAAAGAAAAGATATTAAAACGTTAAATATAAATAAGCTCAAAATGTATGCATAAAGTGACGCACGAGACTCTAAACTTGTTTAATTTAAGGTGGTTCAAGATGAAATAATAATAATAATAAGAAGAAGAAGAAGAAGAAAGTATAAAGAAATACGTGTTCCCTATTTTTGTCTAGAAAACAACATATTAAAAGCTCATCAAAAGCGGAGGCGGACACTTCCGTGCTCTTCCTAGTAAGATACTTTCGAACAAAGATTTGCACAGAAATGATTTTTAAGTGGACATTGTGATGTAATTGATTAAGAATTATATACATTCATACAGTTATAAACTAAATAAAATTATAATTAAAATGTTAATACTAAAACCAATTTATATGTTAAATATTTGCGACAAGAATTAATATAAGAATTGATATAAAAATAATATTGGTCCTATTTATGATACTGTTAATTATTTTACAATAAATTTTCACGAAATTTTATCTTTTACAATAAAAAACAATTGCAAGTAATAATCGAAAAATTTGAAATATTTTTATTGTATTCATAGATTTTTTTATTACATAAATAATGAACAAATTTATCATATTGTTTCATGAATCTTTTAGTTAATCATAAATAAAAGTTAATTATAAAAAGATTATACGATTTACGCATTTCAGTGATCTTTCTATTATTCTTTCTCTCTTTATGTCTCTTTCCCTTTAGAATTAACATTTAGAAACAAGATAATTATCAATTTTATCGGAGAATTTATACCATTTATTTTGTGACACGTGTGAAGAATCAAAAAAGAAACAATAAACAGAAAAAGCTTAATTTGACAGTTAAAAATATCAACGTTAAGAAACGATGTTTATAAATATATTGCTATTATTCATATTTATTTTATCGATATATTATTATTACGTACATTATGGAAGAAAAGGACGACTTCTTCATCTTATACCGGAACCTCCGAGCGTTCCGATTTTTGGTCACGCACACCTAGCCCAACTTTCAGCAGGCAAGTACAACATTTCTACTCTATTTGCATTAATTGACAAATGACTCGTCATTCATGCATATATTCAAGCAAAAATATTAAATTTATAAATTTTTGCTCTAAATGTATACCAAGATTATTACATGCAGATTACATATCTGAGCATTTCTTTTTGGAATAACCATTTGTTATTAATTTTTTTTATTATTTGCCTGTTTCCATAATTAAAATGCGTTAATATTAACAATAAAATTAGTCTCACTAAAATAATTAAAGATTGAATCAAAATTAGCAAATTATTGACACCCCGTGTAGAAAATTTTTAGAGCTAGTACACGAAACTATTGGCCCTGATAAGGATAATATAAGGATGCCATAAAAAAGGTTATCCTATCATCATCAATATGGGGCCTTATTAAATATTACTAAGGACATATAATAAAAAAACTAATAACTATCCGATGTTTAATTTATAGTTTAATTTAAGGTTTTATTAAATTATTATATTAAATAATTTTGAAACTCAGGCTTTAATGAAAATAATTAAAAAAGCCCTTATAAAGATTTTTTAACTGTGCCGCATTTATAAAATGAAGAATTCATGTAATACTAATTTATAAAAAAGTTAATAATATTGCATTAATAATAACATTAATGAACAATGAATTCAATTAACAAAGAATTTCTATTTAAAAAAACTTATTTATTTCATACTTTTCATTATAAAAAATAAAAAAAATTTTTAAATACATAGATATATACATTATCGCTGATAGATGGCGAAAGGGAAAAAACCTAACCCGAAAGTACAATCCATCTAAGACTGTATATAAGACCGCGGCACAAGTCTCGCTCATGGCTTATCGGTCAAAGAGCGTATTAGCTCGAAGACTTTTACAGCCACATTTCTTCTATTTTTTGCGAAAGGAGCCCTAGAGCTCCAAAAATTAACCGCAGACGGTTAATTTTTTTTTATATTAAATTCTCAGTGTGTAGGTGCGCGGCGAAGGCTCTTCCCCTACCCAATCACTGCTTCACCACGCGCCGCCATTATGTTACAATAAGACCGCCACGCACTTCTGGCCACGTGCATTGGCCGGTTTTTTAAATTAATTTTTCGTTAATTATTGCGAATATCGCAAAATAGTATAGTATCTTTCTTTTTACATTTGAGACAATCCACCTTCACACTTCGGGACTGCAAAAATGTTCCTGACACACTGTATATCGTAGAAGACAGAATAAATATCCATGCAGAAATGAATATCAATTGCAAACAATATAAAATTTTCTTATGCGGTTCTGATAGTGTTTCCATTTAGGGTTCTGATAATATTTCCTTATCAGGCCCTAAAGCGCCATTTGTTACAAGCCATGTAGGATCCAAGTGTTCTATACCTAGTAGGGCCCAATTAATTTTAAAATATATTAATCAGATCCTTTTTAAAACCTTATTACTTTTTCTACAAGGAACGGCGCAGTAATTAGAGCTCACGAAAGAGACAACACTTCCTTCCTTTTGATTACTCTATATATTTTAAAATAAATATAATTAAATAATAATAAATTACATTAACAAAAATGAACGTTTCAGAAAATCTTTTGGAATTTAACATATTGGTACATTACATGCGTTCTAATCTACGGGTCGAAAGAAAATATTTTTATAATTCAATGCGTTACACACTTATATAACACTTTATAATGCATATTGTTAACATTGCGCTGAAGAGGGATCAAAAGCGTTCTCTTTTTGTTATTATAATGTGTTTTTTAATAAACTAATATTGAAAAAAGAAAGAAGTGTTATTGCTTCTCTGCGCTTCAATTACCGCGCGTTAATTCTTATGCCAATTTCTTTTTTATTTTAATTACTAGTTATAAACATGACTCATCAGATTCTACGCTTTTTACAAATTGATAATGATATGTTGTTGTGTATCTCTCATGTTGACTTGAGATTCAATGATGGAATTGGACATATTTCTTTCAATTTGCTATTTTATTACAGATATGTGGATGCTATAGCTCTGGCGGTTCGCTCTTCCATGTTCAATAGGATCTTGGATATTTTTAACTCTTTTTATCCGAGATTTCAATTTACAATGGAGGAAGGAATAATAAATTTAATTTCTTTGATGTTACGATAGTCGCGAACAATAATTTAATTAAATTTGAGATCATAAATCCACTTTTTCTGGGAGATATCTAAATTATAAATGGAATCATCCACTATGCTATAAGAGAGGAATAATTGTAGGATTGATAGATCGTGTATTTTTATTGTCACATCCCAGCAGGGCCGGTTCTAACCTGAGCGGGATCGGGTGCGATTTAAAATGCTGGACTTAAAACTTTTATATTATCTTTCATCGAAATCTATTTTATATATATTTATTTTTCACTGAAAATAAGAAACATATATTATTTTATAAATATAGAAATAGTTATTTTTGTATTACATATTTCAAAATAACAAACACTTGACTTTTTGCTTTGGGATTTAAAAAAATTTCATACAATAATATGTAAACTTAAATATAATAAAAATTATATGTAAACTTAATGATGTATTTTTCTCGATTTTTGCTGCGGCAAAGACAATTATGTTATTAAAATCAGTCTCATGAGGTATGTCATTTTCTATCGACATCATTGCTATGCCCGATAGTCTTTCATGCGATATACAAGAACGAAGATAGTTTTTAATTAATTTTAATATTGGAAAACTCCTTTCTGAAAAAGCAATCGTTACTGATAGAGTTAGCAATATACGAAGTGCTATATATATATTTGGAAAAACTGAACTGAATTTGGTTTTAAACAGGTATTTTAATACATCAAACAGACAATTTTGTTCATTATCCGGAATTATATAAATTAATAATCTTAATTTTTCCAATAGTTCTAATCCACTTATATCAGAGTCACTTTTATCTTGTAATATAATGTACAGGTCGTTACAGTTCTTTTTCAGTATTTCCTCAGATTTTTAATATTACAAAAACTATATAAAAACCAAAATTGTCTCTAAAATTCTGATATAGTTTGAATCAATAATAAAGTTAAATAAATGATTGTATGATCTTGTCAATGATTAAAATATTCTATGCGAATTTTTTCTCCTTTGGGGCTATTATTTCATCAACACATTCATAATCAAACGTGTTGTAACAGCGATCCTATTTTGAGGAAAATAAGGTATTATGCTACTCTCTGCTGCAATATTTTTTGCAATTCGCACACTTTCGTCGTAACCAGTAGTTCTAAAAGTTGATAGTCTGTTGAATAGAGCCTCTAGAAGTAATATTGCGACATCTATTTGCATACTTTTTTGTTGCAACCATTTAATCACTCTGTTCACTTCTACAAGTAATTCGTACCATATAACGGTTGATAATATAAATTGATAAGATTTAATTTGTTTCAACAAAGATTGTGTTTCACTAGCAACTTTTGCGTCTTTAGGCTCTCTCGCGTTCTTCAATTTCTTCAAATGTTTTTATAAGTTCTTTAACTTAGAACCGTACAGCTTTTACACTTTCTGTCCGGCATTCCCATCTAGTTTCAGATCATGATTTCGGTGTAAACTTTAAATATTTTTCACAATATCGTATCTATAGTTAGAAGCTGACAAAAAAGTATATATGCGTTGATTGACTCCAAAAAATGTAATAGCCTTGGAAGAAACACTAGCAATATCGAAAAGTACGAGATTTAAATTATGGCAACCACATGGAGTGAAAAATGCTCTTCGATTTTCTCGTAATAATTATGCCTAAACACCAGATCTGTGTCCTTTCACATTTGCCCGATTGTCATATCCTTGTCCTCTACAATTTTTTAAATCAAGCCCAAGATCTTGATTTAGATGTTCTTTTAAGGTTTGTGTTAATCCGCTACTGTCTTTGACAACCAAAAAACCTGTAAAACTTTCACAAATTTGTGCTTCGTCTTCATGTGCATAAACGTAACGTATTATGCAGGATAGTTGCTCCTCATGGGACGTATCAGTTGTGCAAAAAGAATTAAAAAATATTTTGCCGTCTTCACACGATCAGTCACGATCACGATCGTATTACTAATTTGATTTCCTATGAATGATATTAATCCATTCTGTATATCTTTGCTGAGATAATAAACTTTATTTTTTTATTTTTTACTTCATTGACATGTTCCATCAAAACAGGATCGTACCGAGACATAAGTTCAATTAATCTTAAGAAATTCCCATTATTTTTTGTGAAAAGCACAGACAAACCTCTTAAGACCATATTACGCTCGGATAGGTATTGGATAATAGATATTATTCTTTCTAAAATATTCCTCCATTTTTGTTTTTCTTGGATAAATAATTTTTCAGAGTGAATAATATTATTTTTGTTTATAAGTCTTTTGCGTGCGTCATTCCACATATCCATCGATTTAAAATGTACTTTAGACAATTCATGCTGCTTTAATCACTCTGATGTGTGCTGCCAGTCATTAAACCCATTGGTTTCATGTTGACCTAAACCAGTTTGAAATAACTTGCATGAGAAACAAAAAATACGATTTTTCTGTTTATGAATATATTAACCATGCCCTATCAATTAGTTCTCCATTGTTCAGTTTTCTGTTATAATATATCTTAGAAAAGGATTTGTTTTTGTCATTTTTTGGATAGTAATGTAGGTAATGTCTTTCAAGACCTTTTTCTATTAAAAATGTTTTCTGAGATTGAGTTAGACATAATGGCCAGATATCTATATCTTTAAGTTTTTTATAATCGACAGCACTTGTACTTTCTTTCTCAGTGTTTATTGTGTTCTTAAAACAAAAATTTATATAACACATGTGAAGGAAAGTTAATATATGAATAATAAATAAATAAATAAATTAGCCTATCATTATTCTTAAATCTAGTGCAAACAGCACTAATTTTTTTGATATACTTACAATTCCTACTTAGATTATGTTCAAGATTATGATCAAAACTAATATAATCCTAAAAATCCTGATTTTCATTTGTCCTTTCAACTATTTTACATGAATGTTGTGGACTTGTACCAGGCATTTCTTCGGTACGTTCATTCTCCAATGTATTTTCAATTTTTAAAAATTTGTGCACGGCATCTTTTTATAAGTGATAATTACACGGGATTATTTTATTTCGGCCTAAATAAATTTCGTAGTTTTTGTCATAAAAACATAATGCCAAAAATTTCATACAGCAATATATAAAGTCTCATGTAATGGTAATGCAATGTATTGTTGTCAATTGTAATGTTAAACAATTAATTAACACTACAATTGACAACAATATATTGTAACACATGTCTTTAATCGTATTTGATCTATTATATTTTAATCCACCATATTGATTTTTTCGGAAGATAGTTCATATTATCTGAAAGCAGACTTCTAGATAGGCGTCACTAACGCTGGTACAAATTCCAACAAAGGAGTTTACAGACTCTGGATTTAACACATTGGCACATTACAGTACTATAATATGAGGAATTATTTAAAATAATGTAAAATGTACCAGATATCTGCGAGATATAATTTAACGTTATCTATACAACGTTATTCTAACGTTATCTATCGTTATAAGACAGTTCATTATATTTTTATAATTTAATCGCGCTATCGCATTGAACTGAGGGGGAATCAAAAGATCATTCAAAACGTTCGCTTTTGTCAGTGTAATTATATTTAATTTGAAATATACGAATAATTAGAAAGAAAGAAATGCTATTTCTTTCTTGCGCTCCAACTGCGCTGTGTCTCTAAATTTGCGAATATTGAATTAATTTTTAATTATTATTATTCAAAATAATTTTCAATTTTATTCAAATTTAATTAATTAAAATTAATTTTATTTAATTTTTGTATGGATATTTAATATATTTTTTAGTATTATTTGTATGGATATTTAATATATTTTTTAGTGGAACAATGGAAAGTATTTTGTACACTAACTGATAAGTATTATCCTATTCTGAAAGTATGGGGATTACACGAATTTGCTGTGTCTATCCGTCATCCAGATGATCTGGAGGTAATAAAGAAATTTCTGACAAGATTTAATTCTTTATAGACATTACTTTAGCTAGAGATTACGGAATCTTGTATTTCACAAGAAGATTTTCGTTGAAAATAATCCTTAAAAACATAAAAAAGCTCAATACAGAACTTTATACAGTTTAGATTAAAGTATGAGATACAATTAATTAATTATTTGCATCTAAGATTGAATGCTATAATAAATAAATGTTTCTGGTGATTATAGAAGATATTAAGCAGCACTAAGCACATCGAGAAAAGTCGTTTATATAATATACTACATCCCTGGTTCGGCACAGGTCTCCTCACCAGTACAGGTACCATAATAATGTTAACATATAAAAACGTACAAACATTATTACAGTTTGTTATCGTGTATTGCGGGAATATTCTAGTCTAGCGGAAAGGATGATTTTTTTGCATATTTTGCAAATATTTGATATAGAAAATATGTCTGCAAGAAGATTTAGCTTGATTCACAAAATTGATAAAGTTATAGCACCTGGTAAGGAGCGATTTCCGCCGCGCGCTCAGCATTCCGGCTGCGATTTGGTTAGGTTCGGCTAATGAATTGCTGAAACGTTGTTTAGGAGAAACACAAAATAATAACTAAAGCTTTTTAAATGTACTGATTTGGATTTTTGCTCCAAAACATCATCATTCTGGGGCAAAGATTGAAGTGGCAACTTTTCTGGTAGTTCTTATCTTCAATGAAGGATTTATATTTTAAAAGTTATGAACTTAATGAGTGACTTTTGGTGACAGCATGCGGAGATGTACGCAAATTTTCGGAAGAAAACTCGCACGAAACAGCGTTCAACTGATTTCCTTAAAGATGAGAGACTAAATCGCAGGGAAGAGAGAACAGCGCAGTAAGACTTTTATATGCAGGAGGAAGGTTCCCTGCATGGCCCTACACTAGCTGATTGATCGTAAGTAAAATTATTTCTATGTAATCAATATGAAAAACTTTAAATACGTTATTTTATTTTTGCCTATCACATATCTTATGATATCTCATGATATCTCTAAAACCAGTTGATCAATTGAGTCGTATATGCATACATCTTCAGCATAAGTATAATTAAAACACCTCCCAAAATCAAATCAAAATATTTTTTTTTATTTTTAGAGCCTTTTTACAGTTTTTAAATTTTCAATATTTTTTTCATTTCGATATCTGCTATAGCCAAACTTATACTAATTAAGAATCTCTCTGGTTTTTTGTTTTAGATTTTAGAAGCAGAATAGCCAGAATCATAAGAGCCATGCCAGAACAGTCATCATAAGAATAAATTTTTTTATTACCTTATTCAATTTTGTGTATTACACTTATTTATAATTATTTTTTAGTAAAAAAATTTGGAAATGTACTTCAAGTACATATAAGTTTTTTGGATGCGGTGAGAAAATTCACATCCCAAAAAATTTACATCCCTAAAAACTTACTTAAAAAAATTTGAAAAAATAACATAAAAATTCAGCTTCTAGACTAGAACACTCTCTTAATACCCCCTTGTGTGAACATAACAATGCAAAGTAGAAGACAAATAATGAACTAAATAAATAAAAAAATAATAGGAATTGCTATACTGGTCGAAACATTAAAATTGTAAAAAATAATACTAAATAAATCCGGTCGGAGCAAACATTATTTTTTTAAGTAACGGAATTTTCATGTGACAAGTAAATTACGCATTGTACAAATAAACTCTATTTTAATAAGACTCACATCCAGTGTTGTAATAATTTTTCTCATTCGAAATACTTAATTATTTCGGTTGCACTAAAGTTTGCAATTTACCTTTATCACAAAAAATAAAATAACTACAATGAAATATTATAATTAGATTTAAATATTATCTTTTTTAAATGATGAATATATATAATATAACTTACATAACTTTATCGTTTTATAAAGTAATAGTAATATCGTTTTATAAATTAATAAATATCGTTTTATAAATTAATAAATTTAATATCGTTTAAATCGTATTAATAATTAAATATCGTTTTATAAAATAATAAATATCGTTTTATGAATTAATAAATTTAAAAGAAACCTGCAAATGGAATCATTTCGAGAGATAATTTTGCCGGATACACATATTCTCAATTAAATAGAAGTAATAGAGATGATCTCTCTATAAGATAATCCGGTAAACATTTTCAAAAGGAAATCATACATCATTACGTGACAGACATTTTTAATAAAATTTAGTATATTTTTTATTTATTAATCTATAAAGATTTAAATTTTGATTTACGATTTTATATTTTTTTATAATATTTTTGCTCATGTTTTATAATATTTTCGTAATTGACATTGATAAGAACCTGGATTAAGCCGAAACGTTTGTCGATCGATTTTCTATTTAAATTATTATAATTTAATGTAAATTATTGATAATAATTACATATTTTTTTATTTTTACGGTCGTACATGGGCGCTTTGTTTTTAGCCTTCTGCAATTTGTTTTTGAATGATATAAAGATTTAATTACAAAATAATATTTAAATTCTGGTTAATACTTTCAACACTTAGCGTAAAAATTTCATAAGAAAATACATTTAAAGAATTATAAAAAAATTTTGCGAAAGAAAAAAAATAAATGTAGAATAATATTGTTATTTAATAATATCCAATAAACAAACATTAAATTAATTGTAATAGAGACACTATAATATATATAATATAAGTCTTATATTCTATTATTTGTATTTTATCATATAATTTTATCTTGTTTTTGTTTCAGGCGTTAAATGGCAAACACGGCGAAAGATGTTAACACCTGCATTCCATTTTAATATATTAAATCAGTTTATTGATATCTTTATCAAGGAAGGTGATTGCATGACAAAATCTTTGAAGGATGTCGGAGGGACAGTTGTGAAGGATTTATTATCATTTATCAGTGAATATACGCTAAACGCAATATGCGGTAATATTCTAAATGATATTAATATGAATTCTATAACTTAAGAAAAGAATTTGTTTCTACACGAAGTATCACATGCACACCCACACACACACATACCGTGACGTAGACACACGCATGCACAATGGTACAATGCAAATAAATAATATTCGATTTTTTATTGTCAAAGCTATCAATGAAATATTCCCCGTAATAATCTTCGATCACGACACAGAGTATGCCAGAATTCGTGGACAAAATGCACAGCTTGACTGTGCGTGCCAGAAGAAATAACTTTTTTATTTAAAAATTTGTCCGCACACTACTTTTAAAATAAAAATAACTTTAAGCTAACGAATATGTGCTCTAGGCCAGATATATGCTCTCTAGCAATTGAATCAGATATGGCAGATATACGACATTATATTAGTAAGATTATAAAGTCAGATTTTAAAGATTATAAAGACATTATAAAGTCAGATTTTTCGCGCGTAGTAATGACGATTAATTAGTGATGTATCAATTTATAGAGAAAGGAATTTGGCGGACATAAGCAAACTCATCTGACTGTTTCATTTGAATGATTAATAGTGATTATTATTTTGAATTTGCGATTTTGAGTTCAATGAAGTAGATGAATTGAAAGTATATAATTCCCATACTTTCTATAAAAAATATTTTTTATTTATTTATATTTTCAACAAATATGTTTTGTTTAACAAATCTTTTTCTGTTCAAATTTAATGAAATTTCTTATAATTATGTACTTATAAATATATATGTATGTGTATCGCTAATCGTAAAAAATTTTCTAAAAAAAAAGAGTTTTGTTTTTATTTTCACGTGTAAGCGTACATCTTTTTATCTACATTAGATACGTTATTAAGTTCGTGTTCATTACTTGTGCACGGAAAACCCGATGTATTTGTCAATATCGTATGGCGTGCTTGAGGTTAGTTTGAGCTGTCCACTATTTTAAATTTACTTTTTAATTTTTTTAAACCTATACAGCAGATAGCTATATATTGCAGATTCACTGCAAAATGTTGCTGCACCATTGCTATGGGATTGCAGCAACGTTAAAATGTCGGCTTTTAGGAATATTGCAATGTAAGATTGTAGTAATGTTACGGTGCAATATGTATTTATAATATTAAAACGCGTTTTGGTACAAATGCAGACCGTTTTAAATTTCATAAATAAACTTCGAAAAGATTAAAAAAATGTCTAAGAAAAATAGGAAAAAAAATTTCCTTTTAAAAAAATTTCACACTTTTAAAAAATATTTATTAATGTTTTATATTAATAAATTTATTAATTATTATTATATATTTAGTAATTAGTTTTTATCTATAAATGTTTTCTTATTAAATTTTTATCTCTATAATATGCATACAATTATTTTACATATCTTCGACACCAGAATTTTAATACGTGCAATGAATTAATTATTTTTTATTTATCCATTTAGTAAAGAAAAATCTGTTTAATATTCTGAATCCTGAAACGAAGGATCCAGATTATTAAATAAATTATTTGTTCAATAATCTAGATCCCTTATTAGAATTCAGAATATTAAATAATTCAAGTCAATTTATTAGAAATTAAATCGATTCAATACAAGAAATATAATTACTGCATTAGTCTTTTGTAGACCTTATATCCACTTTAGACGAAAATTCGAATACGAGTTAGTTAAGTCTGGTGCCGTCGTAGTGGCAAGTAAAGAAACACATGTTATACATGTTCGTTATGTTAAAATCTTGCTGCAATATTGCCAAAGTAATATTACAAAATAATACCTCTGCAATATTTCTGCAGCATTACACTGCAATGTGCAATGTTGTAACATTGCAGCAATGTTGATACAAACTTCTGTGCTATATGAGAACCGTTGGAATCAAAATTATTCACATGTTATCTATTCTATTTATTTTATTTTCAATCGTTTTTTCAGTGATATCGTTTAGAATTATGTTCTTTTATTAAATAAATTGTATTCAAAATAGCGTTATTGAAATATGCATAGTTTTTATAAAATCTTTAATAATATCGTAAAACTCTGTGCGCGTACTCCTGTGATTTATGCGTAATTTAATTAATTGTTCCCGTTTAAAAAGTAGTATTTAAACGCACTTTTAGCAGAGGAAAAAGTTGTCTCTATTGGCATGGACAATCATATTGTGCATTTTATGTCCACGATTTCTCACGTGGACATAAAATCCCACGAAAACTCTGTATAATAAATATATTTTAGAAACTGCTATGGGCGTCTCTCTGGAAAAATTCGGATTCCAACATCAGTATCGAAATGCAATTCATGAAATAATCGAATTGATAGTTTATAGGTAATTCAATATATGACAGTATAATAAATAATTGTGTAAAATATTTAAGATCCTTTATTATAATGATATATCTATATATTTTAAAACCTATATATTTTTAAACTATATATTTCTTTCTTTTAAACTATATCGGTTTAGAGCATTTAGGCCTTGGTTGTATAATGATTTATTATTCTCATTATCACCACAAGGAAGAAAACAAAAAAATCTCTTGAAGATATTGCATGGATTTACAGAAAAAAGTACATCATAAGTCATGTTATCTCAAGTCCTTCAAACACTTTTAAAAATTATAATAAATCTCGTGATAACATATTAATAACATATTATTACCATTTATAATGTAATACAATATGCTACTGCTATTTAATACAAAAATTAAATATAGTATTTGTGTATAGGTCATTGCGGAAAGAAAACTTTATCATGAAACATACAGGTAATCGATACTTAAAGAATATTGGAGATAATAAAGAGACAGAGGCAGAAGATGTCGAAGTATTTGGAAGTATGTGAGAACTCAGAACTTCTAACTTAAATTCGACTTTACAATCTAAAATTATAAATTACATCTATTTACACTAAAATTATATCTATTTACACTTAAATTATAAATTATATCTATTTACACTAAATATATATTTATAATTACACGAAATGATGCAATACATGTTCACTATAAAAATAAATTATTACTATTTATAAGAAAGTTTAAATTTTAAACGAGAACAATGTTGTAGTTAAAGCGCGATATGCAAAAATGATGCTAATATGCCTTGCTTATTTCTAGTTAAAAAAAAACGGCTAGCCATGTTGGACCTTTTAATAGCGGCATCTCGAGAAAGTTCTTTAACTGATTTGGACATAAGAGAGGAAGTCGATACTTTCATGTTTGAAGTACGTATATGTAATATCTTTTTTAATTTTTTGTACATATTATTTAAAACAATATGATGATCTGATTACAGGGTTATGATACTACAGCAATGGGTATAATGTTTGCTTTGTTATTATTAGCTGAACACAAAGATGTTCAGGTATACTTCAGTATCTTACAAATCAAATATGAACAATATGTTTTTGATTATTACAAATTTATTTATATTTTATGCATATAAAAATATTAAAAATATATTTTATTATTATTATCGATGACATAGGAACGTGTGAGAGTTGAAGTTAATACCGTGATGCAAGAGAACGGAGGGAAACTTAACGATGAAATCATTGCAAAATTTATCATATTTAGAAGATGTTTAAAAGAAGCGTTACGTTTATATCCCAGCGTGTTTTTAATATTCGCAAAACTACGGAAGATGTAAAATTACGTAATTAATCACTTTGTGTCACTAACACGAAACATATAGTATCGAACGTAAAATTTAATATAGTATATTACATTTTAAAAACAAATATTATGTACATTTTATTTTTCTAAAAAAATTTATTTATTTTTAAATTTTGAACTTTTATTTTCAATTTTGAAATTTTTAAATACTTTTCAGATTCATATGTCGTACCTGCTGGAACAATCTTACATCTTAATATTACGGAGTTCACAAAGATCCTAATTTTGGCCAAATCCAGAAATATTTGATCCTGATAGATTCTTGCCCGAAAACATACGAAATCGTCATCCTTATTCCTACATACCATTCAGCGCAGGACCAAGAAATTGCATAGGTGAATTGGTTGGTGATTTTTATTTTTCTTCATGCTGAATAGTTTTCGACAGACTTTGAATTTTATTATATTATTAGGTCAACGATTCGCTCTGTTGGAATTGAAGGCTATGATAGCTCCTTTGGTGCACAATTTTTATTTGGAGCCCGTTGAATGTTAAAGGATATTCAACTGAAGACGATATAATACTTCGTCCTTCTCATCCGGTTCATATGAGATTTATCCCCATTAAATGCAATAGCCGTTTAAAATATCGTAAATACTACATGAGTGTAAAATGTGTAATTGCGAGAAAAATCGCTATATATANTTAATTAAATTTGAGATCATAAATCCACTTTTTCTGGGAGATATCTAAATTATAAATGGAATCATCCACTATGCTATAAGAGAGGAATAATTGTAGGATTGATAGATCGTGTATTTTTATTGTCACATCCCAGCAGGGCCGGTTCTAACCTGAGCGGGATCGGGTGCGATTTAAAATGCTGGACTTAAAACTTTTATATTATCTTTCATCGAAATCTATTTTATATATATTTATTTTTCACTGAAAATAAGAAACATATATTATTTTATAAATATAGAATAGTTATTTTTGTATTACATATTTCAAAATAACAACACTTGACTTTTTGCCTTTGGGATTTAAAAAAATTTCATACAATAATATGTAAACTTAAATATAATAAAAATTATATGTAACTTAATGATGTATTTTTCTCGATTTTGCTGCGGCAAAGACAATTATGTTATTAAAATCAGTCTCATGAGGTATGTCATTTTCTATCGACATCATTGCTATGCCCGATAGTCTTTCATGCGATATACAAGAACGAAGATAGTTTTTAATTAATTTTAATATTGGAAAACTCCTTTCTGAAAAAGCAATCGTTACTGATAGAGTTAGCAATATACGAAGTGCTATATATATATTTGGAAAAACTGAACTGAATTGGTTTTAAACAGGTATTTTAATACATCAAACAGACAATTTTGTTCATTATCCGGAATTATATAAATTAATAATCTTAATTTTTCCAATAGTTCTAATCCACTTATATCAGAGTCACTTTTATCTTGTAATATAATGTACAGGTCGTTACAGTTCTTTTTCAGTATTTCCTCAGATTTTAATATTACAAAACTATAAAAAACCAAATTGTCTCTAAAATTCTGATATAGTTTGAATCAATAATAAAGTTAAATAAATGATTGTATGATCTTGTCAATGATTAAAATATTCTATGCGAATTTTTTCTCCTTTGGGGCTATTATTTCATCAACACATTCATAATCAAACGTGTTGTAACAGCGATCCTATTTTGAGGAAAATAAGGTATTATGCTACTCTCTGCTGCAATATTTTTTGGCAATTCGCACACTTTCGTCGTAACCAGTAGTTCTAAAAGTTGATAGTCTGTTGAATAGAGCCTCTAGAGTAATATTGCGACATCTATTTGCATACTTTTTTTGTTGCAACCATTTAATCACTCTGTTCACTTCTACAAGTAATTCGTACCATATAACGGTTGATAATATAAATTGATAAGATTTAATTTGTTTCAACAAAGATTGTGTTTCACTAGCAACTTTTGCGTCTTTAGGCTCTCTCGCGTTCTTCAATTTCTTCAAATGTTTTTATAAGTTCTTTAACTTAGAACCGTACAGCTTTTACACTTTCTGTCCGGCATTCCCATCTAGTTTCAGATCATGATTTCGGTGTAAACTTTAAATATTTTTCACAATATCGTATCTATAGTTAGAAGCTGACAAAAAAGTATATATGCGTTGATTGACTCCAAAAAATGTAATAGCCTTGGAAGAAACACTAGCAATATCGAAAAGTACGAGATTTAAATTATGGCAACCACATGGAGTGAAAAATGCTCTTCGATTTTCTCGTAATAATTATGCCTAAACACCAGATCTGTGTCCTTTCACATTTGCCCGATTGTCATATCCTTGTCCTCTACAATTTTTTAAATCAAGCCAAGATCTTGATTTAGATGTTCTTTTAAGGTTTGTGTTAATCCGCTACTGTCTTTGACAACCAAAAAACCTGTAAAACTTTCACAAATTTGTGCTTCGTCTTCATGTGCATAAACGTAACGTATTATGCAGGATAGTTGCTCCTCATGGGACGTATCAGTTGTGCAAAAAGAATTAAAAAATATTTTGCCGTCTTCACACGATCAGTCACGATCACGATCGTATTACTAATTTGATTTCCTATGAATGATATTAATCCATTCTGTATATCTTTGCTGAGATAATAAACTTTATTTTTTTATTTTTTACTTCATTGACATGTTCCATCAAAACAGGATCGTACCGAGACATAAGTTCAATTAATCTTAAGAAATTCCCATTATTTTTTGTGAAAAGCACAGACAAACCTCTTAAGACCATATTACGCTCGGATAGGTATTGGATAATAGATATTATTCTTTCTAAATATTCCTCCATTTTTGTTTTTCTTGGATAAATAATTTTTCAGAGTGAATAATATTATTTTTGTTTATAAGTCTTTTGCGTGCGTCATTCCACATATCCATCGATTTAAAATGTACTTTAGACAATTCATGCTGCTTTAATCACTCTGATGTGTGCTGCCAGTCATTAAACCCATTGGTTTCATGTTGACCTAAACCAGTTTGAAATAACTTGCATGAGAAACAAAAAATACGATTTTTCTGTTTATGAATATATTAACCATGCCCTATCAATTAGTTCTCCATTGTTCAGTTTTCTGTTATAATATATCTTAGAAAAGGATTTGTTTTTGTCATTTTTTGGATAGTAATGTAGGTAATGTCTTTCAAGACCTTTTTCTATTAAAAATGTTTTCTGAGATTGAGTTAGACATAATGGCCAGATATCTATATCTTTAAGTTTTTTATAATCGACAGCACTTGTACTTTCTTTCTCAGTGTTTATTGTGTTCTTAAAACAAAAATTTATATAACACATGTGAAGGAAAGTTAATATATGAATAATAAATAAATAAATAAATTAGCCTATCATTATTCTTAAATCTAGTGCAAACAGCACTAATTTTTTTGATATACTTACAATTCCTACTTAGATTATGTTCAAGATTATGATCAAAACTAATATAATCCTAAAAATCCTGATTTTCATTTGTCCTTTCAACTATTTTACATGAATGTTGTGGACTTGTACCAGGCATTTCTTCGGTACGTTCATTCTCCAATGTATTTTCAATTTTTAAAAATTTGTGCACGGCATCTTTTTATAAGTGATAATTACACGGGATTATTTTATTTCGGCCTAAATAAATTTCGTAGTTTTTGTCATAAAAACATAATGCCAAAAATTTCATACAGCAATATATAAAGTCTCATGTAATGGTAATGCAATGTATTGTTGTCAATTGTAATGTTAAACAATTAATTAACACTACAATTGACAACAATATATTGTAACACATGTCTTTAATCGTATTTGATCTATTATATTTTAATCCACCATATTGATTTTTTCGGAAGATAGTTCATATTATCTGAAAGCAGACTTCTAGATAGGCGTCACTAACGCTGGTACAAATTCCAACAAAGGAGTTTACAGACTCTGGATTTAACACATTGGCACATTACAGTACTATAATATGAGGAATTATTTAAAATAATGTAAAATGTACCAGATATCTGCGAGATATAATTTAACGTTATCTATACAACGTTATTCTAACGTTATCTATCGTTATAAGACAGTTCATTATATTTTTATAATTTAATCGCGCTATCGCATTGAACTGAGGGGGAATCAAAAGATCATTCAAAACGTTCGCTTTTGTCAGTGTAATTATATTTAATTTGAAATATACGAATAATTAGAAAGAAAGAAATGCTATTTCTTTCTTGCGCTCCAACTGCGCTGTGTCTCTAAATTTGCGAATATTGAATTAATTTTTAATTATTATTATTCAAAATAATTTTCAATTTTATTCAAATTTAATTAATTAAAATTAATTTTATTTAATTTTTGTATGGATATTTAATATATTTTTTAGTATTATTTGTATGGATATTTAATATATTTTTTAGTGGAACAATGGAAAGTATTTTGTACACTAACTGATAAGTATTATCCTATTCTGAAAGTATGGGGATTACACGAATTTGCTGTGTCTATCCGTCATCCAGATGATCTGGAGGTAATAAAGAAATTTCTGACAAGATTTAATTCTTTATAGACATTACTTTAGCTAGAGATTACGGAATCTTGTATTTCACAAGAAGATTTTCGTTGAAAATAATCCTTAAAAACATAAAAAAGCTCAATACAGAACTTTATACAGTTTAGATTAAAGTATGAGATACAATTAATTAATTATTTGCATCTAAGATTGAATGCTATAATAAATAAATGTTTCTGGTGATTATAGAAGATATTAAGCAGCACTAAGCACATCGAGAAAAGTCGTTTATATAATATACTACATCCCTGGTTCGGCACAGGTCTCCTCACCAGTACAGGTACCATAATAATGTTAACATATAAAAACGTACAAACATTATTACAGTTTGTTATCGTGTATTGCGGGAATATTCTAGTCTAGCGGAAAGGATGATTTTTTTGCATATTTTGCAAATATTTGATATAGAAAATATGTCTGCAAGAAGATTTAGCTTGATTCACAAAATTGATAAAGTTATAGCACCTGGTAAGGAGCGATTTCCGCCGCGCGCTCAGCATTCCGGCTGCGATTTGGTTAGGTTCGGCTAATGAATTGCTGAAACGTTGTTTAGGAGAAACACAAAATAATAACTAAAGCTTTTTAAATGTACTGATTTGGATTTTTGCTCCAAAACATCATCATTCTGGGGCAAAGATTGAAGTGGCAACTTTTCTGGTAGTTCTTATCTTCAATGAAGGATTTATATTTTAAAAGTTATGAACTTAATGAGTGACTTTTGGTGACAGCATGCGGAGATGTACGCAAATTTTCGGAAGAAAACTCGCACGAAACAGCGTTCAACTGATTTCCTTAAAGATGAGAGACTAAATCGCAGGGAAGAGAGAACAGCGCAGTAAGACTTTTATATGCAGGAGGAAGGTTCCCTGCATGGCCCTACACTAGCTGATTGATCGTAAGTAAAATTATTTCTATGTAATCAATATGAAAAACTTTAAATACGTTATTTTATTTTTGCCTATCACATATCTTATGATATCTCATGATATCTCTAAAACCAGTTGATCAATTGAGTCGTATATGCATACATCTTCAGCATAAGTATAATTAAAACACCTCCCAAAATCAAATCAAAATATTTTTTTTTATTTTTAGAGCCTTTTTACAGTTTTTAAATTTTCAATATTTTTTTCATTTCGATATCTGCTATAGCCAAACTTATACTAATTAAGAATCTCTCTGGTTTTTTGTTTTAGATTTTAGAAGCAGAATAGCCAGAATCATAAGAGCCATGCCAGAACAGTCATCATAAGAATAAATTTTTTTATTACCTTATTCAATTTTGTGTATTACACTTATTTATAATTATTTTTTAGTAAAAAAATTTGGAAATGTACTTCAAGTACATATAAGTTTTTTGGATGCGGTGAGAAAATTCACATCCCAAAAAATTTACATCCCTAAAAACTTACTTAAAAAAATTTGAAAAAATAACATAAAAATTCAGCTTCTAGACTAGAACACTCTCTTAATACCCCCTTGTGTGAACATAACAATGCAAAGTAGAAGACAAATAATGAACTAAATAAATAAAAAAATAATAGGAATTGCTATACTGGTCGAAACATTAAAATTGTAAAAAATAATACTAAATAAATCCGGTCGGAGCAAACATTATTTTTTTAAGTAACGGAATTTTCATGTGACAAGTAAATTACGCATTGTACAAATAAACTCTATTTTAATAAGACTCACATCCAGTGTTGTAATAATTTTTCTCATTCGAAATACTTAATTATTTCGGTTGCACTAAAGTTTGCAATTTACCTTTATCACAAAAAATAAAATAACTACAATGAAATATTATAATTAGATTTAAATATTATCTTTTTTAAATGATGAATATATATAATATAACTTACATAACTTTATCGTTTTATAAAGTAATAGTAATATCGTTTTATAAATTAATAAATATCGTTTTATAAATTAATAAATTTAATATCGTTTAAATCGTATTAATAATTAAATATCGTTTTATAAAATAATAAATATCGTTTTATGAATTAATAAATTTAAAAGAAACCTGCAAATGGAATCATTTCGAGAGATAATTTTGCCGGATACACATATTCTCAATTAAATAGAAGTAATAGAGATGATCTCTCTATAAGATAATCCGGTAAACATTTTCAAAAGGAAATCATACATCATTACGTGACAGACATTTTTAATAAAATTTAGTATATTTTTTATTTATTAATCTATAAAGATTTAAATTTTGATTTACGATTTTATATTTTTTTATAATATTTTTGCTCATGTTTTATAATATTTTCGTAATTGACATTGATAAGAACCTGGATTAAGCCGAAACGTTTGTCGATCGATTTTCTATTTAAATTATTATAATTTAATGTAAATTATTGATAATAATTACATATTTTTTTATTTTTACGGTCGTACATGGGCGCTTTGTTTTTAGCCTTCTGCAATTTGTTTTTGAATGATATAAAGATTTAATTACAAAATAATATTTAAATTCTGGTTAATACTTTCAACACTTAGCGTAAAAATTTCATAAGAAAATACATTTAAAGAATTATAAAAAAATTTTGCGAAAGAAAAAAAATAAATGTAGAATAATATTGTTATTTAATAATATCCAATAAACAAACATTAAATTAATTGTAATAGAGACACTATAATATATATAATATAAGTCTTATATTCTATTATTTGTATTTTATCATATAATTTTATCTTGTTTTTGTTTCAGGCGTTAAATGGCAAACACGGCGAAAGATGTTAACACCTGCATTCCATTTTAATATATTAAATCAGTTTATTGATATCTTTATCAAGGAAGGTGATTGCATGACAAAATCTTTGAAGGATGTCGGAGGGACAGTTGTGAAGGATTTATTATCATTTATCAGTGAATATACGCTAAACGCAATATGCGGTAATATTCTAAATGATATTAATATGAATTCTATAACTTAAGAAAAGAATTTGTTTCTACACGAAGTATCACATGCACACCCACACACACACATACCGTGACGTAGACACACGCATGCACAATGGTACAATGCAAATAAATAATATTCGATTTTTTATTGTCAAAGCTATCAATGAAATATTCCCCGTAATAATCTTCGATCACGACACAGAGTATGCCAGAATTCGTGGACAAAATGCACAGCTTGACTGTGCGTGCCAGAAGAAATAACTTTTTTATTTAAAAATTTGTCCGCACACTACTTTTAAAATAAAAATAACTTTAAGCTAACGAATATGTGCTCTAGGCCAGATATATGCTCTCTAGCAATTGAATCAGATATGGCAGATATACGACATTATATTAGTAAGATTATAAAGTCAGATTTTAAAGATTATAAAGACATTATAAAGTCAGATTTTTCGCGCGTAGTAATGACGATTAATTAGTGATGTATCAATTTATAGAGAAAGGAATTTGGCGGACATAAGCAAACTCATCTGACTGTTTCATTTGAATGATTAATAGTGATTATTATTTTGAATTTGCGATTTTGAGTTCAATGAAGTAGATGAATTGAAAGTATATAATTCCCATACTTTCTATAAAAAATATTTTTTATTTATTTATATTTTCAACAAATATGTTTTGTTTAACAAATCTTTTTCTGTTCAAATTTAATGAAATTTCTTATAATTATGTACTTATAAATATATATGTATGTGTATCGCTAATCGTAAAAAATTTTCTAAAAAAAAAGAGTTTTGTTTTTATTTTCACGTGTAAGCGTACATCTTTTTATCTACATTAGATACGTTATTAAGTTCGTGTTCATTACTTGTGCACGGAAAACCCGATGTATTTGTCAATATCGTATGGCGTGCTTGAGGTTAGTTTGAGCTGTCCACTATTTTAAATTTACTTTTTAATTTTTTTAAACCTATACAGCAGATAGCTATATATTGCAGATTCACTGCAAAATGTTGCTGCACCATTGCTATGGGATTGCAGCAACGTTAAAATGTCGGCTTTTAGGAATATTGCAATGTAAGATTGTAGTAATGTTACGGTGCAATATGTATTTATAATATTAAAACGCGTTTTGGTACAAATGCAGACCGTTTTAAATTTCATAAATAAACTTCGAAAAGATTAAAAAAATGTCTAAGAAAAATAGGAAAAAAAATTTCCTTTTAAAAAAATTTCACACTTTTAAAAAATATTTATTAATGTTTTATATTAATAAATTTATTAATTATTATTATATATTTAGTAATTAGTTTTTATCTATAAATGTTTTCTTATTAAATTTTTATCTCTATAATATGCATACAATTATTTTACATATCTTCGACACCAGAATTTTAATACGTGCAATGAATTAATTATTTTTTATTTATCCATTTAGTAAAGAAAAATCTGTTTAATATTCTGAATCCTGAAACGAAGGATCCAGATTATTAAATAAATTATTTGTTCAATAATCTAGATCCCTTATTAGAATTCAGAATATTAAATAATTCAAGTCAATTTATTAGAAATTAAATCGATTCAATACAAGAAATATAATTACTGCATTAGTCTTTTGTAGACCTTATATCCACTTTAGACGAAAATTCGAATACGAGTTAGTTAAGTCTGGTGCCGTCGTAGTGGCAAGTAAAGAAACACATGTTATACATGTTCGTTATGTTAAAATCTTGCTGCAATATTGCCAAAGTAATATTACAAAATAATACCTCTGCAATATTTCTGCAGCATTACACTGCAATGTGCAATGTTGTAACATTGCAGCAATGTTGATACAAACTTCTGTGCTATATGAGAACCGTTGGAATCAAAATTATTCACATGTTATCTATTCTATTTATTTTATTTTCAATCGTTTTTTCAGTGATATCGTTTAGAATTATGTTCTTTTATTAAATAAATTGTATTCAAAATAGCGTTATTGAAATATGCATAGTTTTTATAAAATCTTTAATAATATCGTAAAACTCTGTGCGCGTACTCCTGTGATTTATGCGTAATTTAATTAATTGTTCCCGTTTAAAAAGTAGTATTTAAACGCACTTTTAGCAGAGGAAAAAGTTGTCTCTATTGGCATGGACAATCATATTGTGCATTTTATGTCCACGATTTCTCACGTGGACATAAAATCCCACGAAAACTCTGTATAATAAATATATTTTAGAAACTGCTATGGGCGTCTCTCTGGAAAAATTCGGATTCCAACATCAGTATCGAAATGCAATTCATGAAATAATCGAATTGATAGTTTATAGGTAATTCAATATATGACAGTATAATAAATAATTGTGTAAAATATTTAAGATCCTTTATTATAATGATATATCTATATATTTTAAAACCTATATATTTTTAAACTATATATTTCTTTCTTTTAAACTATATCGGTTTAGAGCATTTAGGCCTTGGTTGTATAATGATTTATTATTCTCATTATCACCACAAGGAAGAAAACAAAAAAATCTCTTGAAGATATTGCATGGATTTACAGAAAAAGTACATCATAAGTCATGTTATCTCAAGTCCTTCAAACACTTTTAAAAATTATAATAAATCTCGTGATAACATATTAATAACATATTATTACCATTTATAATGTAATACAATATGCTACTGCTATTTAATACAAAAATTAAATATAGTATTTGTGTATAGGTCATTGCGGAAAGAAAACTTTATCATGAACATACAGGTAATCGATACTTAAAGAATATTGGAGATAATAAAGAGACAGAGGCAGAAGATGTCGAAGTATTTGGAAGTATGTGAGAACTCAGAACTTCTAACTTAAATTCGACTTTACAATCTAAAATTATAAATTACATCTATTTACACTAAAATTATATCTATTTACACTTAAATTATAAATTATATCTATTTACACTAAATATATATTTATAATTACACGAAATGATGCAATACATGTTCACTATAAAAATAAATTATTACTATTTATAAGAAAGTTTAAATTTTAAACGAGAACAATGTTGTAGTTAAAGCGCGATATGCAAAAATGATGCTAATATGCCTTGCTTATTTCTAGTTAAAAAAAAACGGCTAGCCATGTTGGACCTTTTAATAGCGGCATCTCGAGAAAGTTCTTTAACTGATTTGGACATAAGAGAGGAAGTCGATACTTTCATGTTTGAAGTACGTATATGTAATATCTTTTTTTAATTTTTTGTACATATTATTTAAAACAATATGATGATCTGATTACAGGGTTATGATACTACAGCAATGGGTATAATGTTTGCTTTGTTATTATTAGCTGAACACAAAGATGTTCAGGTATACTTCAGTATCTTACAAAAACAAATATGAACAATATGTTTTGATTTATTACAAATTTATTTATATTTATGCATATAAAAATATTAAAAATATATTTTAATTATTATTATCGATGACATAGGAACGTGTGAGAGTTGAAGTTAATACCGTGATGCAAGAGAACGGAGGGAAACTTAACATGAAATCATTGCAAAATTTATCATATTTAGAAAGATGTTTAAAAGAAGCGTTACGTTTATATCCCAGCGTGTTTTTAATATTACGCAAAACTACGGAAGATGTAAAATTACGTAATTAATCACTTTGTGTCACATAACACGAAACATATAGTATCGAACGTAAAATTTAGTATAGTACATTACATTTTAAAAACAAAATATTATGTACATTTTATTTTTCTAAAAAATTATTATTTTTTAAATTTTGAACTTTTATTTTCAATTTTGAAATTTTTTAATACTTTTCAGATTCATATGTCGTACCTGCTGGAAC